CACATGTTAGAATTCAATGTAATTCTTACTTAATCTATTTCTTGATTCGTATGGGTAACGTATGAATTTTAACGAAATTAAAAAATAGAAAGAAAGAATGAAACGAAGGATAAAATAGAACCACATTACACAGCACTGCCAAAAATAGAACCAGCCAATTAACCCAAAAACAGAACAGATGAAAACTTTTGCATTGCTTTACATCGGAGAGTCTTTTAACTTGAAAAGATTTTAAAACATCTACTTTTGTAAAAAATATCCCTAGTAAGTGGATATTCTAGCATTCCGTACAGTCAGATACTAAACTCCGCCTCCTTTGTTGTCCAAAAAAAAACTGATGTCTCACATTTTCTCCTAAATGATAAAACGCTCAGAAAACTAAAAATGAAGAAAAAAAAAAGAAGAGGAAGAAAGAAAAAAATGCCATTTACCTACTCAAGGCAGTCATCCCGGGTGTTCTTGCGGGAGGGCTCGATTTCCGTTGACAGCAAGATTGTCCGTTCTATCAGCTGCTGCTCGCTCATCCCATGGCTGCTGTCGTTCTACCCAGGCGCCCTGAATGAAGATTCGTTCGAAGGTTGTTATTATAAAGGTGAAGTACAAGTTGAGAGCAGTAGAGTACAGAACCAAGATCATCACGATAAGGACGATAAGCCACGCGGCAATGCTATCTTGCTCAGTTGTCACAAGGAGCACTTGGTTCAGCTTCAAACTGACTGGACAGGAGCTATAACAATGAGTGTCTTTTCCTTCTATCTTAGTGCCCTGAACAAGGAAGTTTCTACTCTCATGATCAGCAGTTGTTAGCACTGCTCGATACATGCTCACAGTACAGAAAAGAACCACCAGGAACAACATGATGCGTGACTCACTGTTAGCTTGCTTGGCCGTGTTTTACTGATCGATACTTCAATACTCTTTGACTGTTCTCTGGTAAGCGGAGTGTAAATAATAAATAATGATGTGCTTTGTTTATATATAATAGCATTCGCACAGGTCTTAGTGTTTCAAGCAATCTGATTGGTTCGCTATTTCTCGGACTAAGGTATTGCATTCACAGCCTATCAAAAATTAAATACCATGCACTGGCATGAACCCGGTATGTTTTTGCCAGTTTTATAGAAACATGTGTTGAAAACGCGAGGAAATCCTTAAGCGTCGATGTTTTTGAAGGTATCAGAAAATGGCAGTTAAAATTGTCAAAAAATTGCTTGAAACTGCACTATTTATATTTGTTTGAAATCTACGTGATAAGACATTGAACGGAATGTGGGTAAGAACTCACGTGTTTTCCAGGGGTTTAAAACGCTCCTCGATTCGCGAAAGGTGATTAAAGCCCTGTGAGTTACGTCTTTTAACTATTTTGATCAATTTCACCACAAAGTAATCAATACGTAACATGATCATAAGGTCATATTAGACACGCTGCTTTTCTCTCTCAAGCGCCAAAAGCGTCAAATGACGTTCTCGTGATTTGTAAACTGAATAGAAAAGAGGAACGCTGGTTCTTTTTCAATTGGTTGATCAGACGTGCCTTTTAGTTCAATAATTTAATATGTAACCAGGCTTACACTAAGTCGAATACAGGGAAAGGAATTGGCTTAAATTCCAACGCCAGAGGGGGCGACGCAGTCGTGAGAGGTCCGTTTAGCCTGCATTGGAGCCGGCCCACGCATTGTCCAGACCAATGACAGAAGGTTTACAGTGTCTTCGACGACGCAGGCTATGCCGAAGAGGTCGATTTGGAGCAAGTGTGTACAAGAAGCTGATAAAGAAATAGTTGGATCAGCTCCAGGTACTAGAACTTTGCTCGAAGCCCGGGGGGGGGGGGGG